ACAGCTCATTTCATAAATGAAACAGGACATGGAAATATGCTTAACTATATGCCTAATGTAATTTTTCTGTTCAAAACTTAGCACAGTACACAAAATTTACCACAAATGTCTTTTTACCCTAGCAAGGTTGCATACAAAATTATATTTGCTTATTTTATAATTTACAAACTGGAACTCCAATTTCTTGCCAGGAAAAAAACTATAAAAGTATTTAATATCTAAAGAGAGTAGTACTGGGAATGTAAAACAAAGAAATATCTAAGAAATATACATACCAGGCAGTGACCTGCCTGAAGTTAGTCTTACATTTTGAAACTAGAGCAAAATCCTCCGACCACCTAGAGAATACAACCATTTGAAGTTCATTTGAATGTATAACTCAATATTTTCCTTATTCACATCTTCAAAATATTCTTACAAGTTCTATGACTCTTTTGGTTTCATCAATTCTGTACATACTGACATAGCAGTAATTACATTACATACCTATCCTTTGAGACTTTTTTGGAGTAGCATATTCTCCAAACTTCACTGCCTCCCTATCACCAGAAACAATAATTTATTTTCTAAGAATATCGATACAAAGGGAACATTAATAAAAATCCAATAGAGAGGGTTTTCCTTCCACTATTCATCACACTCACTCTGAAAGTAAATTAAAGTACAGAAACCTTTTTTTTCCCTGCCTTTCAAAATTATGTTCCTTACCCAGTCACTCACACTTTCCCCCGATGCCCTCTGTATCTACAAGAATTGTAAAGATAAATGAACAAGTAATCTCCTTTGCACTTAATTACTTTGGCTTGTACTATATATATACTTGTTGACTTGCTAATTTCTCTGTGAAAGGAACAACTAACAAGGAAGTCGAGAAGTAGAAGATCAATCCAAAGGTAATTGAGATGGGGAGAGCCGGAAGTGCTTTCTTGAAGATGGCTAACATGATGAGTGTGAGACAAAGTCCCTGCAAGAAACAAGTAAAAAATGAGTCATCAGAATAAAAAGGATAAATAAAAATATGCGATTAATGCTGCATTCCCCAACTAAACGTTCCAACAAACTTAGGGAAAACTTTCAATGTTTTTTAAAACTGGCAAAAAAAGGGGCACTATTTGAGTATTATGACAATACAATTATCTCTTAAATCTATATCAGTATCACCACCCTAGAAATACCATCATCAATAGTAATTGCTGAGAAAATAGATACTAAAAGTGATTAAAACACTCACGATCAAAATGGCAATGAAGCAAGCCAGTGTGGTATTCCAGTCACCATAGGACGAGGCCTTGCCCACCAACACAGAGTAAAAGATGAAGTCTCCAAGCCCGAGCTTGACACCTCCTAAGAAAAAAAAAAAAAAAAAAAGAAAGGAAAGAAAATAAATCAATATATTTTTTTAAAATCCTAGATAAAATAAGTGAATAATAGATATATTATCTCTACCCCCTTCAACAAATAAATTATAAATACAATTTAGCCTGTTATTTTATCAAATTAATAGTTAGCTGATGCTTCAGATAATATTTTTTTTTTTTTTCTGTCTAATTTCAAAAAAATAAAATAAATAAATAAATGAAATATGTAATATCTTTAATTTGAAAGAGTATTGAGTGCCATTTGGCTTTATAATCATTAATTTTCAGAAGTGAGCTAATAATATAATTTCTTGTAAATGCCTATCCTTTACTGATGTCTAACAATAATACAGATTGTTATTTGTAGAGAAAACATTTAAAATAATAACTAGAATTGCTTTTTACAAACCACTTTTAAAAGATTTCTCTTGTTTTTCCTAGTTAAAATCCTAAAACAAATTTAAAAGGAACTGAGAATATACACTTCCGAAACAAAACACGATCCTTACACCCTATCAATATCATCAAGTTTCCAGACTCAAGCCTTTACACATAATTTGCGACCCTTCACTCTACTTACTCTCATCATCTTCTTCGGCAGTAAGGTCACGTGGATGCGCTTGAGGGTAATCGACGTTTGAGGGGTTTTGCTGAGCAAAGTTGTTGACCTAGAAATCAATACAAATCATGGGAGAAGATTTAAATAACTGTATTCATTCAACTAATCTTATAAATCTTGTATACTGCAAGAAATGAGACTTCATACACCCACACTTTTCTGATATTTTTTAAAATATAGTAATACAAAACTCCAATATTATCATATAATTCAAGGTTCTATGTAAAATTCTCTTATAAATATTAAGTATAAAGGCATATGAGGTGTAAATCACATTGATGGGTAATGGCATCTTCAGAAACTATCTTCAAGCACAAAGGATTTGGAGTGTAAATTTGGTGATTTTTAATATCAAAAGGCTGACACAAACTACATTGTTCAATTTGCTAAAAAAAAAAATGAATAACTGTTCAAAAAAAGGGTAGATCTAACATGAGTAGTTCTTTGATTTGCGCGTGTGAGTGTTTCTAACTTACAAATCACGTGTGTATATAAATGCGTGGTTGCAAAAACATACAAATAC